GGAGCCAGTAAATATGCAGTCTTCTCTCATCTTCATCCATCTCTTTCTTGCTTGTCATCCTTTGGGTTTTTAGCTCCATGTCACATGGTTACTCCATTTAAGGTACATCTCCCTCATCACTATTATCCTATCATATCACTGTTTTTTAGTCACTCAGAGTCCCTCACTGTCAGTTTCTACAGTGTTCATTTACTTGTTGAATCCTTTCTAAATCCCTAAATAGAATGTAAACTTCACAAGGTCAGGGTCCCTCCTAACTTCTTCACTCTGGGCTTCCAGAGCATATTACACTCCCCAACACATGTTGAGGATTATTAAATCTCCAGTGTATTTGTGCTACTATAGCAACATTCTCAAGACTGAGCAATTTATGAAAAGAAAAAAATTATTTTCTCACAGTCCTGGAAGCTGAAAAGTCCAAGATCAAGGTATTGCTGGGTTGAGAGTCATGCTGTGTTTCCAAGATGGTGCCCCCCTTTTCTTTACCAGAGATTGAATTCAGGACCTTGTGCTTGCAAGGCAGGTGCGGTGCCACTGAGCTAAATCCCTGGCCCATCCATAATGGTGCCTTGTTGCTGCATCCTGCAGAGGGGAGGAATACTGTGTCCTTATATGTCTGAACACAGAAGAAAAAATGATCCAAAATACCTTAATCCTATTTACAGAGGAAGAAAGCTTTATGGCCTAATCACCTCCTAAGCAGTCCACCTCTTCCTAACGCATCAGTAAAACTTGAATTTTGGATGGGACGTATTCAAAAAATGGCAGTAAGTTAATTGTTGACTACTTGTGTTTTTCAAAACGGGCAAGAATCAGCATGGGCGATGGGTTCTTATACTGGTATATAGGACTTTTAAGTGTTTTACTTAATATCACAGTAGAAATTTTCTCTTGATCATTAAAAGGTACTTTAAGTATCTTTCAATATAATATACATACACAGCGATACTCATAGTGGGTCACTACAATGAAATTAATTTTAATTTACTCTATACAATTTAGACCTAAAATTCAGTATATTAAATTTAAAAAAGGATTTCTAGTTATTTTCATCTTCACATATGTAATAAAAACACTCTTTCAAAAGCTGTTAAGGCAGACAGCAAGATCTATACACAATGTATTTTTGGTTTACTTCTGAATAATACAAAATTTGCACTGTAAAAGTTTAAAAGTTGGTGCCCAGAAGATCACTTTTGAAATGCTTGAGTCAGCTTATGTAGCAGGGGAGAAGCCTATTGTAACTTAGCAAATAACTATAATAGCTGTCTTATTTCGATTAATATTTTATATTGCTTATAAATCTACACAAATCAAGGCTGTAGCAATTTTTTGAATTTGAGTTACAATAGTATGTGAAGTTAGTTTAAACTAGCTTTTGAGAGTCAACTATGTATATTTTTTCCCAGGACCACTTTCACTGACATCCATTTGGTAAGTTGAAATTGGCCATGGTGAATCAGCAAGTGCCATAAATCAGGGCTGTCTCTCACCTTCCCTCCAATCTGAAGTTAGATACTAAACATTTACCAGTATATTATAGCACTAGTTAACACCACCAGTTCATCTTCTGAGTTCAATAAGGAAACTCACCATAGTATTGTCAGTTCTTATTTTATACAGTGAAGAAATGCAAGTCTCATATATAGGCTTTTATTCCAGAACTAAAATTATAGTGCAGGCAAGGAGTATCTTCTATATTCAACCTGTATTGATGACAGTTTGTAGAGTCTACTTAGTTCTACAATTTTCAATACTTATAGACAAAGTTTCCAACTTCCAAAGGTAATGATATTGTAAAAATGACTTTAAAACTAAATGTGCCCTTCTTTGAAGACTATAATATGCATCTACAGTAGTAAGAAATGTTATAAACAAAACAAGGAAGTAGCCCCCAAAGAAGCAGCAGCTCTGACGAAAATTAACATAAAATATATTAGAAAACAACACGAATAGATCTTCAAAGGATAGTTAATAGTAAAATATATTTTCACAAGACAACTAAATATTTTGCTTATATTGAACACTGACATGTAGTTAACTCACAGGCAGTAGATATTGAAGAAATGATGAGGGTGGCCTGACACATTAGCAAAGCTGAAAGCACATGGTATTTCTATTTATTTAACTTTTTCCTCTTAGCAATTAACATAGTGTTTCTATTATCTATTGGTGTGGATACAAATCAGGGGTTAACATCTTTTCTGTAAAGGGCCAGCTAATGAATATTTTAGGTTATGTAGACCATATAATCTGTTACTGATACTCAACTCTGCAATTGTAGTATAGACAAAGCCACTGACAATACATAAAGGAATAAACTGTGGCAATGTGTTTTACAAAAACAGACAGCCTATTGAATTTGGCTTGTACAAACTCTTGCTTGCTGATCTTGTGTCTAGACTGCAAAATGTTGTTGGAGTGTTGATCTTGCGTGGGAAATGCCTTTGTCAAGAGTAATGTTTGGCAAACTAGGAATGAGGATGGGAATATTTATTAAGATCACTTGTCATAAATATTTTGTCTTTGCAGAGTCTCTTATTTCCAGATGAATCAAAAGCAGAATTTACATGCTCCATGGCCAATAATGATTTTAGCATTATTAGGAATACCATATATATCACCACTTTTTTTTTTTTTTTGGTACAGGGGGATTGAACTCGGGTCCTTGTGCTTGCAAGGGAGGCCACCGAACAGCTGAGCTAAATCCCCTGCCCATATCACCCTATCTTCTAAGTATTCACTTCTCAATCCTTCCCACATGATCTTATGGAGGATGACTGAAGGGCATTTTTAATTGATAAAATATCATGAGCCACAAGATGAAAGCTATTTCTTTCTGAGAAAATTAGCAAGTATTAAATTAAAAACAGCAAATAAATCTTTGCCCAATAAATCATACTATTATTCAGTATCTAATTAAGTGTCTATATTTTTCCACCTAAGGGAACTGAAGAAACAGTGAGAAGTTAAAAAGGAGGACATAAAATTGTATTTTTCTTAGAGTTCCAAATAGTGTTAGGTTCCCAAAGTGACAGGTGTAGCCACTAAGCAAAAGACAAGGTGTTAGAGTAGAATCAACTATTTTTAATACACCAAAGTTTTTAACTATATCTCATACACAGTTACTAAGTGTGTGGTAATATTGACTCATTTCCATGAAGAAGGGCCTAGCAATTCTCTATATCTGAAACTACTTATTCCTAAGGGGACACCTGGGAGATGTTTAAAATTATCTGGGGAGCTTACACTATCAAAAGTCTGACATTCCACCCAAGAAGTCATCTGACCCTATGCCAGGAACTGCCTCAGTAAGCTATTATTACAGATGGAAATGTGGTTTAGCAGTGCATTGGGGAATAAAAAAAAATGGTTAAAAGCTGCTGATGGGAAATAGCTTGACATACAAATTCATGCATAAAAATAAGGCTTCATTGGTGATAAAAGGCAGGATGTATGCTTATATGCACAGCAGGAATGTAAAACTTTAGGAACTCCATTAAATAACTAAGATATAATGAGTGCATCAAATTGTTAGTTCATTTACTTTTATATTTTGAATTATTGAAATAAAATGATAGAAAACAGGTCAAACACATTCATATTATTCTGGGAAGGCAATTGGCCATTATAGAAGCACAGATATTTTGGATCAGTCAAGTACACCCTGTCAAGTTAACCTAGTTACGATTCCTCTTTTAAACTCATTTTTAATTGTTCAGGCAAATTCCTTGTTTATGCAGCACTTTGGAGGGGAAATGAGACCCATATGCAAAATAATTAATATCACTGTAGAAGGCAATAAGTTTCCTGAAATGAATAAAGTCTCACAAAAATTCATAGTTGGGAAAGACAACATCAGTTTAGAGCAAAGCATGATTAGTTAAAGTCCCATTCATCTTCAAACCTCTCAGGTCTTTTGCTCAAGCAGAAAACTGTGAATTGGGATAAATTAGACACTTCTGGTAGCGCTGTTGTTATTTGGTCCTTTCAATGTGTGACAGGGTGTTGTTTTGTATTACAGGCTTTGCTCACCATGTAGCTCAAGGTGGCCTCAAACTCACAGAATCCTCCTGCCTCGGCCTCCCAAGTGCTGGGATTACAGAAGTATTTCACCATGCCTGGCTTTAGTGGTTCCTCTTTTTTTTTTTTTTTT